TTTTAAATTAATTTTAAAATAAATTAAATTATTCATTAAAATAATAGAATGTTTTAAAAAAGGAATAAAAATGTATAAATTTTTAAAAATAAAACATATATCAATAATTACAATTTTTTTATATTTAGTGCAAATAATTAATAATTTCACACCGCAATAGCCACAATCCGCATCGCAATACTCGCAATACCCGCAACCGCAGTAACTGCAACCGCGACCGCAACCGTGACCGCAACCGCAATTTAAAACCATGGTGCATACCATATGCCAAGGGACAGTATTGGGGTTGGATTCTAAGATGGTACCAGTCCAAAAAAACCCTCCTCGGGAAGTTGTCCTTTGGAGTAGATGTTGTGTTGTTCTCCTCTAGGACTTAGTTGATCCCATGTATGGGCAAGGTCGATGCACACGTGTATGAAGCGACCACGGTACAGGGGCCAGGTCGAGCTATACCGATTACAAACGGCCAATTCAAGTAAAGTACGAAGTCAAAAAACTCAGTTCCAAACTGAGTATCGAAGGGTTGTAGTATTTAGAAGATAGTTAGTAGGCTAATTCCATAAGTGGCTTAGTTAAGCTAGCTAATGTCATGGTAGGCCTAAACCCAACTATCCTATCTTAACATAATACTATACTTCCTTGTTTAAGTGGCAAAGTCTGAGAAATCGTTATCATGTTGTAGATTTTTATCCAAATTTGTTGTTTCCCTAGCAAGCCCAAAAAATTTTTGTGTTGCCGGTTCGGTAGGACCTAGCCACTTAGACTACTCATACTGCATTGTAGGAGATCTCCGAGTTGAAATGCGTGACGATACATATGTGTTGATGTGCTGATATAATGTTGATATGTGTTGTATTGTGGAAGTGATATTAAAATGTATAGTATATGTGTTGTTTGTAGCTTGTGTTGGATGTGAAAATTAATTTATGTGTTGATGTGTTGCATACTTAATTATATGAGTTATTTATTTTACCTAGCTTACCCTTACATGTTTCCATATGGTTTGGAGTGCGATGATCATACGTTGTATGAGAGCAGAGAAGGAATAGGCTAGAGAGTAGTAATGGAACCCACAAGTGGTGCCTGGAGTTGGATTTTATTTTGTAGACTACCGGTTGTTGGTAGATACTTTTGTATAGATATTTGTATATAGTTGCTGGACAAGCAACATAGTTGTACATATTCATGAGATGTAGATATACTTATATCATATTACTGTTTCAGTATATGTATATGCGTAGTTAGTTGTATGTTTGCAGTGTGGCAACCATAGCAGGTCGTTACATTATCTTATAAAGTTTTAGTTGTTTTTGTTTTTCTTATTTTCAGTTGTTTTTGTTTTTGATTCTTTCAAATTTTGTACTCTATTATTTTCTAACTTTTCTTGGTTAATTTTTTTTACAGAACAAAAACAAGACAATATATATATATTTTTTTTACACGAATGAAACTAAAAAAATTTAAAATAAATTCTCTTATCAACCCTTATATATTTATTTTCTTTGATGAGAGTATTTGTAAAATTTATTTTAACTTCTTATTCAATTTTATTTTTGTTTATCATAATTATTTTATGAGTTAAATATTAATATTTTAAAATAAACTATTAATAAATAAAAATAATTTTATGTTATATTATAAATTATTTATCAT